ATAAATTTTAATTTGTTCTTTCAAGTCTCTGATAGTACAGCTTTATTCATTCTTGAATCAGGTATTCCTTCGATAAAATATTCAATTATACTTGCTTCATCTAACTTTGTGGCCTTCCCAATTTCCATCAAGCTGTAAAGGTATTCAAGCAATTTTTCATCATGTCGCTTTCGTCAGTTACTCAGTGCACGATGAACATCAATTGCAGACATTTGTACAGCAAATTCATTCTTCAGCGTCTCTTTTAGCATTTTCCAATTGTTTACATTACGTTGACTGCGGATAATTAATTTTGCAGTTCCTTTTAACAACTGCTTTGCATAAATGAATTTTTGCACATCGTTCCATTCCACAGCTGCGGCGTTTTCCTCAAAATCATTTACCCATTGCTCGAACGTTGGTTGATCTGATTCCGAGAATGAAGTCAAGGAATCTTCAACGTCACGCAGAGTAAATGTAGACCGAGCTGCAACAGACGCACGCTGAGTTACGGTTTGTATGCTTGCTACTTCGTCATCGTCGACATCGTCATTTTTTACATTTACCTCATAATGTTCTATAAGACGGCTTTGTAATGTGAAGGAAAATTTTGTAACACTTTCTTTTTGTAAACATATATTGAAGTAATATGAAATTTAATAAAAAAAAAAGAAAAACTTAACAAAATTTCACTCACATGCTCAGAATTCCAGTGGAATTTCTGAAATAAAAATTATTGTATAAACTGAATAAATTCCACGTAAAAAAATGAACTCAACGTTTTATTTTTATTTCCATTTTGTTGTTATAAGACTAACCGCGCACGAATTAAAACCGGCGCCAACAATTGTTGTTGTAAAAGATGGCACGAATATTATTATTATAAAAATTAATTTTCTTTTTGTTTAAATAATATTATTAAAAGTCACATTAAAATTTAAACTTATCCGAATTAATTACAACGTGTTTTGCAAAAATATGAAGACAATGTATACAAATGTCAAAACATAATTCTCACAGCGAATTGAAACCGGTAGCCGAAGGTGAGAAAAGAAAGCAAGAGATCAACTAATACATGTATGATATTGAATAAAGAAGCAGGGCGAATTCTAAACAAACGGCAATCAAAACAAATAACAGCTGAAGCAATGTGTGCGCTACAGGAAAAGCTTCGGTCAAGTTAGTATAAATAAGCGTATACATCAGAAGGAAAAGTGACTTGTTGGAAAACTCTCAAAGGCAGTCATACGTCTTTGCGATAACAAGGAACTCGTAGATTTGCATAGAAGTCAAGGCAGTTTATACGTCTTGACAAATAGATTTGTATAAAAGTCAAGGTAGTTATACGTCTTGACAAGTAGATTTGTATAAAAGTCAAGGTAGTTATACGTCTTGACAAGTAGATTTGTATAAAAGTCGAGGTAGTTATACGTCTTGATACGTAGATTTGTATAAAAGTCAAGGTAGTTATACGTCTTGACCAATAGATTGATGCTCTGTAACGCCAGTTTAAATTTCAAGTAAAGCGGTATCTGTCCAGAAGTACGATACAACGCCGGATTGATTTAGTCAAATCCCAAAAATTAAAAATATATATTGTAACATTGTAAACTTTCTTTTTTTTGAATTATTAATAAATCACAAATTATGTGTATTAAATATTGTCTTTGATTTCGGAAAAGAATAAATATTATTGCAACGACCCCTGGACGATGGCTGAGTATACCTCAGCAACATCAACGACAAAAGTGAGTCGTTACAATTGGCGCCCGAGCAGGGACCTGGTTGGTCAATCACAGAACTCAGGGCAGTAAGAAGAAAGCATATTTTATAATTCAAGAAAATATACTGATCATAACAAGAAATCATGTCTGTTGGGACAAAAGGGAAGGCAGAGGTACTCGAGCAAGAGACGCAAAGGACAAACACGTTAAGCAAATCGTGGGTCTACAACGCTAGAAAAGACGAGTTAGTATCTTACGCTGTAGAATTCGGACTTGAAAATACTGGGTCTGTAGAAGAACTTCGCAAGAGAATTACAAGTTTTATCGATGAGAACGACCATGATACAAGTACCATCGACAGGCTAAAAGAGTTAGCTCGTAAACATGGGCATTCAACACCCACTATTCAGTTACCAGGTACCGATATGTTGCCGCTAAATCCACCAACCTATTCTTATCCACAAACCATTGATCAGGTACGTAAATGGTCGGTTAAGTATGATGGAGGAAAGGATGCACTATCGTTTATCGAACGGATAGAAGAGCTGGCAGAGGTGTACGACATCAACGTACATTTGATTCCTCGTACGATGCCAAAACTCCTGAAAGATAAAGCGCTTGCTTGGTATCGAAACAACAATCAACATTGGCAGTCTTGGTATTCTTTCAAAGCTGATTTCCTCCGATTTTTCCTACCAGCTCGATACTTCGAGAAATTGGAAGACGAAATCAGGGCACGCCGTCAGAGAACAAGAGAAACCTTTAAAGACTACGTTGGATCCATCCAAACACTGATGCGGCACGCAAATATGGAAACATCGGTTCAACTAGAACGAATATATAGAAACGCCCATCCAGATTACCAATTATATATCCGGCGACGCGATTTCGAAACTCTAGGTGAGTTGATTACGATGGCAGATGACTACGAAATCCTACGCTCCGAGCAAGAGAAAACCTTGTCAAGGTTTTCAAGAATTCTGGATGCTAGTAATGCTTGTAGAAGATGTGGGAGACAAGGGCATATTGCGAGAGGCTGTCGCAATCCTAAAACTATATTCTGTTGGGTATGCGGAAATCGTAACATCTGGCCCATTGACTGCTGTCAGGAGAGTTCGGGAAACGAGACAAGAGAACGTCCAACAGCAGGGAAACCGTTCTCTCGAGAACTCAGCCCTGCCAGGTCGTAAAACAAATTCACGTAAACGAAACTCGCATCACAGTCCAGGTCCAGCTCAACGGACAACCATTAGAAGCAACATTGGACACTGGAGCATCCAAAAGTTTCATCAGTGAGACACTGGCAAATACAATGAACATGGAAGTACAACGAAATCTCTTACCTACACGGATATGCATGGCGGACGGCAGTATAAAACACGTTAATAAAGGAATTGCGGTTAGCATTCAATTGGGACATCAAGTTGCACGAGGTGATATTTTCATCTTACCGGAAAGTATGGATCCATTAATACTTGGATTAGATTTTCTGAAGGCGATGGATACAACAATTTAAATTGGTGGGCTTGTCCTTAAACTAAACGAAACGAAGATGACAACAGATAAAAGTACACCTGTTCAAATATTTATAACCAAACAAGAGGAACTAACCATGGCGGAGGAATATATCAACAACGAACTAGTAACGTTTGGAACAATGAAAGGCACTTCAAATATCACTACGCATAAAATAATCATGAAAGATGACCGTCCCATCAAACAACGCTATTATCCTAGGAACCCAGCCATGCAGGAAATTATTGACACTAAAGTGAATGAACTTCTCGTTAAAGGATGCATCGAGCCTTCAAGAAGTGCTCCAATTGTCCTGGTCCGGAAAAAAAATGGTGAATGGAGATTCTGCGTAGATTATCGACAATTAAATGTGTACTCTATACCAGATGCTTATCCATTACCAAGAATACACCATATCCTTGATCGACTTCGAAACGCCAAATATATTAGCAGCATAGATCTCAAAGACGGATACTGGCAAATTCCAATGGATAATAACAGCAAGCAGTATACAGCGTTTACGGTTCCGGGAAGAGGATTATTTCAGTGGCAAGTGTTGCCATTTGGTTTGCACTCAGCGCCAGCAACCTTCCAACGTGCACTTGACCAAGTAATAGGAGCAGACCTTGAACCTCATGCTTTTGCATACTTGGATGATATCATCGTAACTGGTTCTTCTTTTGAGCATCACTTGGAAAATTTGAAACAGGTATTGCAACGTCTGAAGAAGGCGAACCTTAGAATAAATGTGGAAAAGAGTAAATTTTTCCAAACAGAGACCAAATATCTGGGGCATGTAGTAACTTCACAAGGTATCCATACAGATCCAGATAAAGTCTCAGCGATACAAGGTTTATAGCCTCCAGCCAACCTTAGACAGCTGAGACAGTTTCTGGGCATCGCATCTTGGTATCGCCGTTTCGTTCCTGACTTCGCTCTAATTACCCACCCTCTGACGACAATGTTGAAGAAAGGAAACCATTGGAAGTGGAGTGAGGCTCAACAGGAAGCGTTCCTCGAAGTAAAAAAACGACTTACGGAAGCTCCCGTGTTAACTTGCCCCGATTTTAACCAACCTTTTTGTCTCCAAACGGATGCCAGTAATATAGGAATAGGAGCGGTTCTTACCCAGCAGATTGAGGGTTCGGAGAAGGTGGTGGCTTACGCTAGTAGACACCTTACTGCCCCAGAAATCAACTACTCCGCCACGGAAAAAGAATGCTTGGCCATAGTCTGGGCAGTAAGGAAAATGAGACCGTACTTGGAAGGTTACAGGTTCACCGTTATGACTAATCACTTGGCACTGAAGTGGCTTAACTCGATAGAAAACCCAACAGGTCGAATAGCCAGATGGGCGTTAGAGTTACAGCAGCATCAATTTGACATTCAATATCGAAAAGGGAAACTCAACGATAAGGAAGATAAGGAAGACATTCAATAGGATACAAAATCTATACTACTGGCCAAAAATGTCGAAGGATATCACTAAACATGTGAGAGAATGTACACTTTGTCAAAAGTTTAAACCGAATAACACAAAACCAGCAGGAATGATGCTCAGTAAGATCCCAGAAGAACCATGGGTGACTATAAGTGCAGATTTCGTAGGACCTTTACCACGGTCGAGAAATGGTAACACCATGTTACTCGTGATATTCGATAAGTTTTCCAAATGGGTGGAATTAATAGAAATGAGAAGAGCTACTAGTGAAAACATAATACAAGCTTTACGTAAACGGATAGTTACGAAATTTGGAACTCCAAAAGAAATAATCACAGACAATGGCTCACAGTTCAGGAGCAAACTATTCACTGAATGTTGTTGGAATCAAACATCAACTGACCGCGCCTTATACGCCACAAGAAAATCCTACGGAACGCGTAAACAGAACCATAAAGACGTTGATGTCTCAAATTGTCCATAACGAACAACGCAAATGGGATGAAGTGTTACCAGAAATCGCTTTCGCAATCAACACTGCAAAATCAGATTCCACTGTGTTCAGCCCTGCGTTTTTGGTACAAGGACGCGAATTAAGACTACCAGCAACCGTATTTAACGAATATACACCTGGAATAGGGGATTGTTTTAATTCACCATGCAACAAAAGCAATAAATTGGAACAAATCTTTAAAATCGTAAAACAAAATCTCCACAAAGCTGCGTCAACACAAGCCCGCTACTATAATCAACGGCGTAGAAAATGGAAACCACAACTACAACAATTAGTATTGGTCAAACAACATTACTTATCCAAAGCAAGCAACGACTTTTCCGCGAAATTAGCTCCCAAATTCGATGGTCCGTATCGGGTTCAAAAATTCATATCGCGTGTCATCACAGAATTAGTCTCTATTAACACTGGTAAATGTATAAAGTCGCATATGGCCGACCTTAGGGTGTACTACGGCAAATAAGGATAAGAATAACAGTAGCGGACAAATGACAGTAAATCAAAATCAGGACCGTTACCATATTCAATATATAAAGAGCACACGCAAAACAAACCAAATAGTTAACATTTATGATTCACTGAAAGTAACCAACACGATATGGAGGGGAAACTCGAATCAACTATTGCTAAATTTAAAGCACGGACTGAAGAGCTGAATGCATCAAGGCCACGGAGTATATTGTTAGCAGAACCAATTAATATATCTACAAGCAGATTAAAAAGTGTGGTTCATAAAGTAGGCGTCAAAAGAAAGATCATGAAATCACCGAAATCAGTAAGTAAAATATCGAACAAACACATTCGCAAAACACTACCCGTTATTACTCCCGCGGAACGCGTTCAGAAAGTAAAAGCCAAGGGTTGGAAGAAGCGCGATTACTATAACTCACCATCAAAAGAACGCGATGAACCCGTACATACTGAGCAAGAGATTTTAGGAAGTGGTACTGATGACGCCGATGTGCTTCACTGCGTTTGGAGTAGTTTAGAATCGTTACTCGATGATGACGCATCTCCACTACCCGAAATACGAGATGAATTATATGAAGAATTGATGGCTAATACGGTTGAATCAACGGCACCAGTTTTTATAGACACAAACACGACAACCGAATTACCAATTATAGAGCAGAACACATGTGAAAACAAAACCGATTGGCCAACAGAGCTTAAGGAAGCTATTGCTGACGCATATAAAAATCAGCGTAAGGGGCAGCGTATCACTTTTCGAAGGAAGTTCCACAATTTTTCATATTTAGTAAGAATTAACCGCACCGGCCAATGTGCAGTAAAGCAGTTTTCTAACCCCCCATAAGACGGAGGGAAATGTGAAGGAAAATTTTGTAACACTTTCTTTTTGTAAACATATATTGAAGTAATATGAAATTTAATAAAAAAAAAAAGAAAAACTTAACAAAATTTCACTCACATGCTCAGAATTCCAGTGGAATTTCTGAAATAAAAATTATTGTATAAACTGAATAAATTCCACGTAAAAAAATGAAATGAAATAAAACGTTATATTTTTTTTTCCATTATCCGAATTAATTACAACGTGTTTTGCAAAAATATGAAGACAATTAGTTGAAGAGATCAACTAATACATGTATGATATTGAGTAAAGAAGCAAGGCGAATTCTAAACAAACGGCAATCAAAACAAATAACAGCTGAAGCAATGTGTGCGCTACAGGAAAAGCTTCGGTCAAGTTAGTATAAATAAGCGTATACATCAGAAGGAAAAGTGACTTGTTGGAAAACTCTCAAAGGCAGTCATACGTCTTTGCGATAATAAGGAACTCGTAGATTTGCATAGAAGTCAAGGCAGTTTATACGTCTTGACAAATAGATTTGTATAAAAGTCAAGGTAGTTATACGTCTTGACAAGTAGATTTGTATAAAAGTCAAGGTAGTTATACGTCTTGACAAGTAGATTTGTATAAAAGTCAAGGTAGTTATATGTACGTCTTGATACGTAGATTTGTATAAAAGTCAAGGTAGTTATACGTCTTGACCAATAGATTGATGCTCTGTAACGCCAGTTTAAATTTCAAGTAAAGCGGCATCTGTCCAGAAGTACGATACAACGCCGGATTGATTTAGTCAAATCCCAAAAATTAAAAATATATATTGTAACATTGTAAACTTTCTTTTTTTTGAATTATTAATAAATCACAAATTATATGTATTAAATATTGTCTTTGATTTCGGAAAAGAATAAATATTATTGCAACGACCCCTGGACGACGGCTGAGTATACCTCAGCATCATCAACGACAAAAGTGAGTCGTTACAGTAATTCTGATTTCTTTCCAGCAGTAGATAGTTCCAACTCAATAGATAGCTTCACATTAAAATTTCTGACGTCATGCTCATCCATTTTTTACTGTTGCTTTATTGTAGTTTTGTTGTACCAAAAAAAAACCCAACACTTAATTTCACAATGTTGTGCGCTTTGATTTTCACGTGCTTTTTTGATCACCGCGATTCCCGGACGAGCCCCCAAATGTAGGAAAAACTTTATTTAATTTAATGATAAATAAAGTTTATTAATATTTTTACAATAATATTTTACTACAAAACAAAATTATTTCAATGTATTTTACGCCCGTCAACATCACTCGCTCTTTCCAACTCAAAACAGTCAAAAAACTAGCAGCGTTGCCATTTTTTTCGTTTTCATTTTACTGTCCGCCGCCAATTGCCACATATATTTAAAGTGTCAATAAACTATTGCGAATATAAAGGAGGGTGAAATTCAATTTAACATTTGTGTATAAACTTAAATTACTTTTACTTTTAAAGTGTGGTCACTGGAGCACCTAAATAAAAAAGGCGCTAAAATATACACATAATAAACAAACAATATAAGTAACATCAAAAAAAAATAAATAATAGAAACTATAATATTAGTATTAAACAATAGTTAAACTATTTGGTTAGCGGTACGGCTACAAGAACAATTATTAAATAACAGCGCTAAAAAGTAAACTTTAATTATTTTAATTAATGTTTGCTAACTTTTTATTCACATTAAGTTTAAATAAATAGATTAATATTATTTTTTCTAACTATTTGCTATTAACTGCAAAGTGGTTGTTTTTGTGTTGCGTGTTCCTGTGGAATGGGCGATAGAAGTAACAAATGAAATATTTTATTAAATTCTCCAGAAACTACAAACATCGCCAAATAAGCTATGCCGAATACTAACAATAAGTCAGCTTCTCAAGATGTTTTTTCCTTGGGCCATTTTTGACGAGCGCTTGCAAATATTCTGGATAACAGACTTGAGAACAACACAGTTATGTCTGCTGAAAAGGAAATTCACAAACTGTGCAGTAATGTGCTGAAAGCAAATGTATCTGTGTGTACTGTAAAAAACTACCTAGTAATGGCATTTTTATTGCAAGACTTGGATTAGAATCGCAGGCTAGACTGATTTTATCCTCTGTGACGAAATGAAGAGGTCCAAATATATACATCAATAGAGATCTCATAGTGAAAGAACGGTCCACAAAACGGAATCTGTGCGCAGTAGCTAATGAGCTTAGAAGACTGCATGGTTTTAAAGTTGGATTAGGTGATTACTCGCTTTTTGTTAACGACAAATCTTTTACTTGGCGAGAAAACAAAATTATAACTGCTACAACAGGAGATGCGAAAATGATTAACAATGATTGACAATGATTGCTTATGAGAGCAAGTAATGGCATTCAGTGCGATGCCAAACAAAACATAAGTAATCGTCAGCTGATGGATGTCAACCCAGCAAGAAATAGCCTGGACTATACTGCAGGAGATGTTCCTTTGCCGGTGAACTCTAATTAGCAATTGCCAGTGTATCAGGTGCTTTCTTATAACGTAGCTAATTTAAAAAGCAAATTTAATCATAAGAATTTTTTCATTTTTTTTGACTTATATGACATAATTTTTATATTTAAAACACATGTACTGGTCGAAAACAGAAATAACTTTACTTATTTCTTTCAAGACTAAGTATTGTGCTGGGTGGAAACGTCTAAAACTCGTGATGCTAGCAGAGCAAGTGATGGTTATCGTTATGGTTATAAAAAATGTTTGGAGAAAATATATGTTATTCCTTTAAATTTCTAAACTTTGGTGATAATATTGTGCTATACTCTTGTGCTAACAAAGTTGACCGTTTCTTCATTCCACGTTAAATTGCACAAAGTGGGAGGAAGATTTTAATAAACCCATTTACTGTATTATTGGCGATTTCAATGCCGATGTAGCGGATAATCAAGTAGATGATGGTAATTTATTATCTGATTCTCCACTTATTGCGGTAAGAAGAGTATCAAAAGATGTGAAGCTTGACTGCATGACTTCTGGAGGACATCGGTGCTATTGTAATTAACGGCAGGTGTCGAGGTTGTGAAGATGGAGAATTTAAATATGTGGGACCTTCATATCTTCATATCTTTATGTTATTTCAGTTACTTAGATAAGCTCCTTACATGTTTTTTGCAAATCTTACTCTGAACACATGCCGCTGGTTTTTGAGTTTCGTTTTCCATCAAGTTGAAATGACGCAAAAGTTCCGAAAAAAATGCGTTGGAAAGAAACTTGTGCAGGTAGATACAGAGAACGGCTACAAATAACAACTTGTTCGGATTATATAAATAATACGAGGGCGGTTTGATAAGTCAGTGACTTTTTGAATAAAACAAATTTTTTTCGGCAAATAAACATTTTATTTTGTACATAATCACCTTTTATGGTAGCTCGATACATTTAGTCCAGCGTTTTTCTAATTTTCTTTTTTCTCCAAATAACTGGTTTTCTCAAAGCTCTCAAAATACGCGTTTACCGCCCAGCCATTTCTTTAGGTTTGGAAACAGAAAATAATCACAGGGGGTTAAATCTGGAGAATATGCTGGCCTCCTTTTCTTTTGCCTTTCTTGTTTTTATTTGTCTATTTCATTAATATACGAAGTGAATGTTAAAGAAATCCCTAAAACAATTTTACCACATACATTGCTTTATCTTCTTGTACTGTAAATGCCCATATCAGGGGGGTAAAGAGTAATAGAATATATTATTTTTTATTACAAAAATGATGCACTACAAAAATCACTATGTATGTGCAAAGTGATATTGGAAACATTGAGCATGCCATTTTGTGCATATAATTTATCTAAAAAGTGACTTTTTATAATTATTTTAAAAAATATTTCAAATAAGATTTGTTTAAAAAGTTTAAAGTCTCTAAAATAAATCGTAAAACGATTGCGGAAAATAAGTCTTGTTTATCTCTGTTACAGCCATCGTAGTTGACGTTGGATAATGAAATGTCAAATATAAAATTAAACGTAAAGCATGTAAAGTTAAATAAATAGTTTAGTATGTGAATAAAAGGTGAAGTATTCACATGTCTAATTTACTACTCTAATAAATTGGCGACGAGGATAAAAAGAAAAACGAGTAAAATTGAAGAAACGAA